CCCTTGTTGTGGGCAGGATAGCTCATCCGAGTGTTGCGGCCCTGTTGTCTCTCGAATGGGTAGGGGCTGCTAAATGGGTGGGCCTTACCAGGGAGATCGTGGCTTCTTCGGTTGTCACCGTTCACGGCACTCCGGCTCCACCCAGAATGAGGTGTTAATATATCTCTATATATATCACCTATATTCTTAGCAAGATACAGAAAAAAACGAATGACTATATCTAGGGGATTTGTTGCTTACGTTGTGTTTAGGATCATGCTTGGGTCTCAAGAGAGAATGCAGAGCAGTCCATGCGGCAGCTCAGGCAACTTCGTGGTTTCTAGCTTGACAGAAAGGAACTATGGTACCACAGTTTGGGAAACAAGAAAGTAATGTAGCCTATTCAGCATTTTGTGAGGGAAAAAAAGGGGCACCTTTTGGAGTGCAGCAGATTATGTTTGCATCCCAACCACAGCCATGATGACAATTATGGAGCTGGTTGAGGAAGAGGAGACCGGATGACAGCACAAGGGAGAAAGTCGAGGATGGGCAGAAGTAGATGCAGAAGCCTGTCAGAACCTGATTGGTAAGGGGGAAGATTATGGATTGAAAGCAGGGAGGGAAGGAGGAGGAGGAGGAGGAGGGGCAGGGAAAACCACAGCCGTGTTGGCAATGTGGAGCTGGTTGATGAAGAGGAGGCCATGATGGCAGCAAAAGGGAGGGAGTGGGTTATGGGCATGAGGAGAATGCAGATGCCTGGCAGAAACGCACTTGTAAGGAAAAAGATACTGGAGTGAAGAAAGATGGGAGGAGGAGGAAGAGGGGGAAAAAGAGAGGAAGGGATGAAGGGAGGAGAGGAAGGTGACTGCAAAGTGTAATGCTTGCCATCACAAATCTTTGTACAGCTTGGTATCTCTCTACGCAGGAGTTAATCTAGACAGAGAATTTGCTCATCCACCGCGGTGTTCCCGGAACGCAGCGCTGGGAGTTGGTGTGGTAGTGCAATAGTGCTGCTGAGGATACAACTGGCAAGAGCGGAGGCCTGCTGCTGTGTAGTTTAGGGCATTGGACTCACCTGGTGGGGGGAGGGGCGACGGGGGATCAGCTGGCCTTTGCCGGGCTTCACTCTGCACAATGCAGCAGCTCAACACAGCGCCTTTCACCGGGCAGCATCTGAGCTCGGGTGGGGAGAGGGGGGGGGAGGGGGAGAGAGAGAGAGAGAGAG